AACAGTGATCTCTTAAACCAGTCCACTAAGTTGTTCAGGAATGAAATTTGAGTCACAGTTAAATTGCAGGGTATTAAGGAATCAGTGGTTAATGAAGATAAGCAGAAGCTGCAAATTAGATGAGTCCAGTGATTAATGTAGGAAGAGAGATGAAAGAGTACTTTGGGAAAGGAGTGAACAGCAAGGTCAAGGGAAGATTTTATTTTTAAAAATCAGGGTTGTTTAAGGCTTCAGTCTGCTTCCTTCCACTCTCTCCAAGGAAAGAGCAAATGATAAATAGAACAAAATAGGGATTGCAAGAGATCAGAGTCTAATAATGATGTTTTCCTAGATAAGCAGAAGTCACTCTTCTTTTGAAACAGGAGGAAAGGGGAAGAGAACAGGTGATAATTCAGATATTTAGAAACTAAGAGGAAGGAAGCTGAAAAAATTAATGGTATCTGGGAAGTGAGGATGAATAAATAGAGTGGTTGGTTCTTATGTTTGATCTGTTCTGAAGGACTTTGAAGGGTATTTTCCAAAAACTTAATAAGGCAGAGCCATCTTAGTATTTTCATGATTAAAGAAAAGGTATCACTTAATTCTTATGAATAAATTTAGAGTGAATGCACGTTCCAAGGGACTGACTCATGCTGTTATAACTTACAAAAGCTAACATATAAAACACAGTGGTGCTTTATTAATTTATGGTGGGGGACATACTTGAGTCCAAACCTGCAGCAGTCTTGCATGCACAGTACTTCCACCTAGTGGGTAAATTTGTTGATAAGAATAAAATTTAGATTTTTAGGTTGCTTAGTTAGTGGAGATTTGGAATAAATGAATCTGGGTACTCCTAAGGATTATTTCCCATAAACCAGGAGAATCTGATGACCTGCTTTTCTCTTTAGAAATATTTCTTCCTAAAGAATGAATTGGGAATGTAGAAGCTGAGTATTTTCTCCTTGAAGAGCAAGGAATCAGTATTGATAATCTTGCTTATAATCATGTTTTCCTAATGTATCCGTCATATTTCTGACATGTTTGGCACTGTCAATTTATCCAAAGATATACTCGTCCATGTGTAATTAATTTCTAGTAGTGGTTCCAAATCCTGCTCCAAAGAATACTAGCAGTTGCTTAGTAGCACAACTTAGAAGCACTGCCTACTGTATTGCCCTCTTAGTGTATTAAAGACTCTGAGAATTCTATATTAGGGATAACAATTTGTTTAATCCAGTAATTCCCTAAATGTATTTGACCTCAAAACCTTTTTGTCCTCATAACCCTCATCTGGCAAAACTGGTATTTGTGATGACACATTGAGGGAAACATTGAGCCACATCTCTTTTTAGTTGTATCATGGCCCTGGGGTTTGGTTACATAAAACTGGCCCTGCCAGGCTGGGTACAGTGCTCATGCCTGTAATCCCAGCACTTTGGGAGGCCAAGATGGGAGGATTGCTTGAGGCCAGGAGTTTGAGATCAGCCTGGGCAACATAGGAAGACCTCATCTCTACAAAAAAAAAAAAAATATTAACTGGGTGTGGTGGCACGCACCTATAGTCCTAGCTGCTCAAGAGGCTCAGGCAGGAGGATCACTTGAGCCCAAGAGTTTGAGGTTCCTGCAGCCTGGGAGACAGAGTGAGAGAAGAGGCCTTGCCAGTTTTTCTGTCTCCTCCACAGCATCCTGACAGGCATCTCCAGGATGGATTCTATATAAAATCATGTCAGAGTTGATTCAAAGAATGCATTCTTCCTTTAATGTCCCCAGATTCTCAGGCCCCTTAAATGTATTACTTAGTTTTACTAAATCATGGAAGAACAATCAAAGTTATTTTTATGTTTGGGGAAACATTTATCAGGCTGCATATTTTAAAATTCTTGATAGAAATTGTTTATCT